TAGAGTGAGAGACAGACACAGAGAGAAACAGAGATAGAGAGACAGAGAATCTGAGAACAGAAGATGGGTTATTAAGGAAAGTGAAAGGGCTCAAGGGCAGGAAGGAGAAGGTTGCTACAAGAAGGTCATAAAGAACAGGGGAGAAATATATGATTAAAGCACAGACTAGGCATGAATGGAAATATAGCAAAGAAACTCATTAATTTGCATAATTAGTATGATTAAATAATTTTGATAATATTTTAAAGATAAAAATAATTTTTAGTAAAATGTAAGAAAGATACCCTTATGAATGAGTTGGAATTTTCCTAAATAAAGAGTGAGCCATGAAAGACTGATGAAATTAATTTAATATTAAAAAGCTCTGCTCAGGGGCAGACCTTGCAAACTTAAAGACCTGAGTTCAGTTCAGACCAGGGAGAGACACTGCCTCAAAAACCAAGGTCACTGATACCTGAGGATGATACCCAAGCTTGACCTCTGGCCTCTACATGTTCACACGTGTATGCATGTACACAGATATTAAAATAAAAACAAAATGAAAAAACTCTGTTCAGTCAACATGAGAATCACAAAGATACAATAGAAAAAGAAAAGCCCTCAAATGTTGATCAGTGAGCTGGAGAAGCAGCATGCAGTGCAGTCACACAGCAGAATACCCTGCCACAGTTAGAGTGAATGAGCTAGAGCCTGGGGATGCAGCTTAACAGGCGAGCCCTTACCTAGCACACGCACACCCCAGGGTTGTGTCCCCAGCAACAAAAGAAAGAAACCAATGAACTAAGTGCATGCGCAATCATATGGATGTATCTAAAAGTATATTGTTAACAAGAAAAAAAAGTTCGGGAGGATATATTCACCATCATTAAATTATATACTTTATAGTCACCATAATTATAAACTTTGTATGGAACATATAAAGTGAAAATGTATTAGGAATACTCACAGATATCCTAATGATCTAAAAATGTTATGTTTATTTAAAATTAATAAGAACTCAATCAAGATATTCTCCCGTGGACAGTATCCATCGGCCAGCTGTTCAATTTAGAGGTTCTTCTAGCTACACCAAATGCCTGTTTATATTAGTAGCAGTTAGCAATTCTAAACTTTTATTTATTTATTTATTTATTTATTTTTTTATTTTTATTTTACATGTATGACTGTTTTGCCAACACATATCTAAGTGCACCTGTGTTGTGAAATGCCCACAGAGGGCAGAAGAGGGCGTTGGATCCCCTGGAACTGGTGTTACAGACCATTGTTAACCACCATGTGGGTGTTCAACCTAGGTCCTCTGCTAGGGCAGCCAGTGCTTTTAACCACTGAGCCATCTCTCCAGTCCCACAGTTAGCGATTCTAAATGGCAACACACTCAGCAGCCTTCTCTTCCAGCCTGGAAGCTGCTTGAGGAGAGAACCATATCTTACCTGACTTGGTTTCCCCACTGTCTTACATATTTCCATTATTCTGGTTGGTCTGTTGGGTTTTGGTTTGCTAACTTGTATATTCTGTCTTGGTCCAGTTATAGTGGCTCAGCACTGTGTAGACCACACTTTTGTTTTCTAACCTAGTAAAGCAATTACAAATGTGCTGTTTCAGAAAGCATAGCATACTTACTTTATTATTCATTTGGGTATTTGTAATAGGTTAGTGTCTTTGAGAGAAAAGAGAGTATTGATATGAAGGAGGCTCAACAGATACCAGTCCTAGTCTTTCCCAAGCTCCAAACAGGGACTGACTGACAGTGTTTGATGGAAAGTTCTAAGCTTGGGAGGGCCTGCGTGGAGCCAGTCAGCCTTGAAGAGGCTTAAGAAGAAAACAAGGGAAAACGGTTTCAGAAAGAGGTTGAGTTTGGTTTAAAGGAAATTAAGAGAGGCATCTGGCTTCTACTAAACCAACCTTGGGTTGGCAGAATGAAATATTTGTAAGTCATAAATTAAATATTGTGTAGGTATAAGTAAACAAATTACAAAAAAATTTTACTGTCTAACAAGAGTACAAATAATAACACTGATTTTCTTCAAACAAATTGGGAGTGCAAAATATTAAATAATAGGATTGTTTTAGTGTTGGGGAAACACTGAATTATGAAGCTGATTAAACTTTGAGAGTAAAGGGGGAACTGAGGTGATTAGTTGCAAAATGTCAAAGTAAAAAACAGGAAGGCTCTGCCTGAAGCCTTTTGTAAGGATCAATCAATAAATAATGATGATGGGAGCTTGAAAGATCGTGTGCTCCAAAGGAGGTGTGCTCTGACCCTGCAATGCTGCCTGGCTTATCTTCCGGCATGCATCATGTCAGATGCTGTTATTCAATGCATTAATAAAGCATCGTTTTTCTTGATGACTGTTCATTACAGAATGAGTGGAATGTCTCACTTTTAGGAGTTGGTTTCAGTTACACAGAAGACTACAACTTAGTTGAAAAAGATGCAACACTAACATGACACCCAGAATTCCTTATACACATGACAGTGGGAATGTGGACGAGGTGCCTCCCTCAAGTGCAGCAACCAACAGAACCCTATTAATATGGCTGTTCTTAAACTCACAGACGTCCACACGGTTGGTAGAAGGCAGGCCGTTATTCTGCACTGTAAGAACTCACTCTTTGAACACAACATGAGCGTCATGCCATGAGGAAAGCTGTGTGATTTGGTTCATCTTTAGAACTGTGCGAAGTCATTTAGACAGAGCAAGTGATTTAGGAAACAGAATAGTTTATCATATGCCAAGAGAGTCTGGGATTTGACCTGCCTTTCTAAATTTTGCCCAATGGCCACAAGAGGATAATAAGCCTTTTCTCTGTAACTGAATCAAATCAGGCTCACTCAGTAGATTACATGATTTTAGGTGGGAAGAGTCTGAAAATGTGTGAGGTGCTGAAATGCTTGAGAATTAGCTTAGTGCCACAGACAGATGGCATCCTTGAGAACCGGGATATGTATAACTGCAGTACAAATGGCAGGTATTTGGCATTGTCTCTACAGGGAATTCAATGCCAAATGTGCCTAAGTTCTTACAAGTAATTTGATACAAAAAAAAATGTTTTCTCAATGTGGAACTAGACTTGTTAATTTTATTATCTCGTTCTCACATGCCCCCTCCCAACATGTGATAAGCTGGCAAATTAAAAAAAAATGAGATGAAAACATCCAGATGTCATTTAAGAATTAACTTTTGCAGGGAGGGACTCATGAGCCCCCAAACTTAACTTGAGGAGCTACTGAGGTGATGGCATCTGGCAGAGGGGGAGACAGTTTCTTTAAGGATGTGGCCCTAGTTGGTCAGCCACACTCCAGTGCAGGGACCCACACCTGGGAGTATGTGGGCAGCACAAACTAGACTTGATGAGTTATTAAAAAAACAAAAAGAAGACACAAAGTTGGGAGTGGGCGGAGAGGTGAGGGGTGAATCTGGGAGGAGTTGAGGAGAGTGAGTTGAATGTGATCAAAATACATTTTATAAAATTCTTGAATAATTAAAATATATTCAAAATTAATGTTTTAATAACATGATTATTGCATGTACTTTCAAACAACATGCTATGGTTGAGTTGTGAATTTTATCCAAAGGCCTGTGTATTAAAGGCTTGGTCTCCAGAATGGTCCTGTTGGGATGTGGTAGAACCTTTAAGAGGTGGAGCCTAGAGGAAGGTATCTAGGTCATTGGGGTGTGCTTGTAGGTGATACTAAATTCCAGCTCTTCCTCTCCTTCTTCTCCTGTTCCTTCTCCTCCTGTTCCTCCTCCCCTTCCTCTTCCTCCTCCTGTTCCTCCTCCTCTTCCTCCTCCTCCTCCTGCTCCTCCTCCTTCTTCCTCTTCTTATCTGTTT